AGTGCATACAGACTTCAGACTTTTCTTCTTTCTCTCTGCATTGTATCCTCTTGCAGAATTCCTTGATTGGAGTGCTGGGACCTAATTTGAGTTTTGGAAGTTGACATTAAGCATGACTGATACCTTGCTCATTTTTCTTCCCTGTTTTCCATTCTTTATACTCTGATAGGAACAAGTGGGTGCAGAGTAGTTCAGGTTTTTTGTATGTAGGACTGGTTGATAGAGCCAAGGATTTATTGAGAATGCTGTCAGATCAAAAGTAACTTGTACTTGTAAACAGTGTGATAATTTTTAAGATATAATATTGCTTAAATACTGTGATTTAATTTTCTTGGAATTTCTGCTGCTGGTTTTGTGCCTTTAACTTATCTCAACTAGAGACGTTAAAATATTTCCTGTCATTTAGAGCTTCTGTGGTGCCTGTGTTTTTGAAGGAATAGATAACTAACAATCTTAAAGGCCTCTCTCAGTGAAGGTGATTAATTGCATTATATGTGTTCCTAATAGCTGTTTTTCCTTAGTTCACTGTATGAAGTCATCTCTAGCAGTTGAATTCTGTAAATGAGAGACGTTGCAGTGCTCAATTCTTAACATTGATTTCTTGTAAACTGGTGGTAATTAACTTTTTACTCAGTAGTTGTACATTTCTGCCTTTTTTTCTCTTTTTTTTTTTTGTTTTTTTGAGATGACCAGGTGGGTTTTTTGTTTCTTTTTGTTTTTTTTTTATTCCCCATTTTCACCTCTCTGACCAGCTGCCGACTTTTTCTCTTTCTCTCCTGCTTTCAATGCATCTTGGGTAGAATTGTGGAACAAGCACCAGGAAGTGAAAAAGCAAAAATCTTTGGAAAAAACGAGTAAGGAAATAAAAAACCCAAAACCAAACAAACATAGAAAGTGACTGAGCCAGCCAGCCCATAACTGCCAACTCCCCAGGTGCATCTATGGCACACGGTTTTTATACCCACAAGAACTCTCAAAGCTTGCATTATAGAGACCAAACAGTTTGCCCTGGGGAAATTGTGTTTGAATGTCTCTTCTTTTTTCTTTTTTTTTTTTAATTTTTTTGTTCTTTCTTTTTTTTTTTTTATTCCCCTTAAATGTTGCCTTCTTCAAAGAAGAGGAAGCAGATTTTCTGCATCCTCTCCGTATCAGATATATAGAGAAGGATTTTAAGGTATTCCACCTCCTTTCTTAAAAATTAAAGACCAGTTTTGCTTAACAAGCCCTTGACAGATATTGGACTGATTGATTGTTATTGGATTGAAGAATTCTCTGTTGTTTCAAGCTGTGGGATGGCAAATTTTGTCACTTGGCATCAACCAAGAACAGTTTATGACCACAGTCAGTCTGCAACAAGAAATGCTTTTGAGGGAGAGAGAGAAGGGGAATGTGAAGAATTGTATTTAGTGATGGCTGTTAGAAAACAGCCTCATAAGAAGGAATCCACTTGATTTTTTATATCCCATGTTAAAGGAGTGAAGTAGTTTGAGGCTGTTTGCAGAGTCTAAATAGTATAAACCTACACAAATCTTAACATCTGTTGAAATACGATATTGAATAAAATATTGAGTGTATAATCTCTCCAGGTGTAGCACAAGGTTTTGCTCTTTTGATTGTCACTGTTGTAAATAGGGACATATGGCATAAGGACAAAGTTTATAATACCCACGAGGTGGTAGGTCTTTCTTAACCATAATAACTGTAGTTTCTGCTCTGTGGAGCTGATAGCTCTTTTACAAACTAAAGGTTGGGGAGGATTAATAGCTAAGATGAATGGGTGAAAATTCTTGGCATTGTGATTAGGCCTGGTTTTGCTACACCAGTTTTAGGCTCCTCAATACTTCATACTTAAATACTTCAGTGAAGTACCAGTGGAGTTAGTTCAGAGAGAATGAGGCACCTCTGCAGTACAGCTGACTAACCTTTAAGATCTGAATTGCTTTCTGCTGGGTTAGGTGGTGTATGAGGCAGATATACACGTGCCTACTCTCCCAAACTGGGCCTTTCAGGTAGGTGCCTACATTGGGAGGGATAAGTTGAGGGTTTGGTGGTTTATTTGCACACAAGAAGGTTTGGAAGTGTCTGGAAATGAAGAGTGACAACAATGTGATTGTGGTTATTGTGCTTGTTAAACTCAACTATCAGTTTGAGTCAGTTTAACTTGCTTTAAAATCAAATTGCCAGAAATCTATCTGCATTACATGGTGGGACAAGGAACTCAAACTGCTTAAAACACACAGCTGAAGTTTAGTGTTCTTGCTGTAGTAGTGAGATAGAAAACTTTTTGCTGCATCTTTATGCAGAACTAGAAATGGAAATGGTGGCCATTTGAATGAGTGGAAATAGAAGTCAGCAATGTGTATTGCAGTAAAAAATAAGACTCCAAATTCTTAGGGTATTACTAGATATTTTTCTTTTTTTTTGTAAATTGTATTTATACCTTCTCTTTGTTACAGTCTGATGATTTGATTTACAGTAGCAGGCATATGGATTTGGATGTAGGATGCTACAACAAATGGACACTTTCTGTAAAACTCATGGAGACTTGGTGGTTGAGTAGTAAGCTAGTATGGTCTGCACAGCCCACTTATGGCTTTGCTCTTCATGAATTTACATATCATCTCAAACTCACTCCCACAAATCTTGGTATATTATCCTTCTCTCTCTCTCTCTCTCTCCTCCCTTCCCTTTTTCTTTCCTTTTTGCTGTCTTATCCTCTCTAATATTGCACATAATACAAACATACTCATAATTCCCAGGTTGTTGTGATCAGTGGTTATAAGAGAGAGCAGCATTGTTTGCTTAGGGGTAATGGATATAGCCATGGGTATATAATACAAATATTCCAGCTGCTGATCATGTCTTCCTGTTACTGAATAGTTGGCAGATATGGATATGGCAGAAGTGTGGCATTTAATACCTTCCCCTTTCTGAGAGTAGTGACATTCTGTGTACAATCTATAACACATTATTTTCTTGCCTCATTATTTACCTTGTTCAGTGCTTATCCAAATTTCTTTTCAGGCTCTACCTCTCCATCATTCTCTTTTCCTTCTGCCATCCCATCTAAGGACAATAGATGATATGATTCTAGAACTGCATGGGAAATTAAACATAAAGTTCTTTAGCCTTTCTTTCCCCCTTTCTTTTTTTGTTTTCAGATCAGTGGGTTAATATAAATGCATGTCTTAAAGCTTGCTGATTCCCTCTCACTACTGACCTATGTAATTGCCAACTCTGGAGAGCCATTTGCTGATGTAATTGGGGGATGTTGTGAAGTACAGCACCATACAAGCTTTTTCCTTTAAATTCTTACTAGTTTAACACTGCTGCTGTTTATTTTCTTGTCATGTTGCCTGATTTCTTTCCTAGATGGTTGCTGCAGGCAACCTCCCAAACTCAGACTTTAGAGCAAATTAGCTGTTCAAAAAAGGATTCTGACTTTAAGTCAATAGATGTCCTTTCTTTTTCCAAGAAAAAAGGAATTGGCTTCCTAGAGTTGAATGGCAACTGCTCTGCATGTGTTATTGTAACTGGGAGCTACTTGACCTTTGTAATATTTTCTGTCTTGAATGGCTAACAAAGGTTCTGTTTAGTGATAGTCATGCCTAGGATATGCCTTTGGGGTGTTTGAAGTTCAGAATGGCAGATGTGTCTTGCTGGCCTTGTTGTTTACAGTACCAAGGAATAAAAAAAAAATCAAAGAAATGAGAAAGCAAAACAGTTTTCTTGGTACTGTTCCTGCTGCCAGTCTGTCATCTGCTTTCTGCCATACTGTTTTTTCTTGGTACAGTAACAATTCATTTTTCTCTTCTGTTCAGGGCCAGAAGGTGTGAAACACTTTGATTTGGGAGAAACAGATGAGAAAAAATCCCAAATCAGTGCAGACAGTGGCCTCAGTTTGGCTTCAGGTTCTCAGGTCAGTGGCTTCTGTGCTTGCTTTATTTATGAGGTAAAAGAGAGAGGATTCTTCCCTTCAGTATTTATTTGTGGGGAGAATTCTGGAGTTTGAGCATTCTTGAAAGGCTCGTTCAGTAAAATTTCTTCCCCCCACCCCTTCCTGTAGGGGGCTGATCTTCACAAAGTTTTCAGTTGTATGACCCCAGGATCTTTCTGACACGCAGGCAGGAGTTTCTATTTGGCTGGCTAAATAAACCAAGGAAGCTTAAGGTGTGTGATTCAAGACCCCAAAGGAATGGGAAGTGAGATTCTGTCTTTATTATAAAACTAACATGCCTTTTCTTCCTGTCCTTTACATGCTTTGACTGCAGAAGAGTGAGTTTGACCCTGTTCCCAGTGGAGGGCCAGCAGTTATGGTCCGAAGTACAAGCCAGGATTCTGAAGTTAGCACAGTGGTAGGATATGCCAAAAGTGAAATCTTGATGTGATTCACTGCTTGCTAAATTGGGGAAGGACATTTCATGGTGACATTTTGTGTGGTATGGCTGCATACTGTCCCACATGCATAATGTATGTCTGAGTTCTCTCTTCAGAGCTTCTGAGTGAGTGGCAAACGTGTGTCTGACAGAACATATGTAGTGCTTTATTAGACATCCTTCATGTATGGTACTCATTGCTCTTACACATTCCTGCATGTTGGTGTATTTATGGAACTGGCAGATTGCAATCATTTTATAAATATGCCTTAGTTGTGTATAAACCATTTATAAATGAATGGAAGGTTAAAAATGGAACTTAGGAGCAAAAAAGGGCAGCTTGTTTGAAGCATCAAAAACAAGAACAAACTTTCCCATGTATTTCCTAAAGTACTTGAATCATATCAAAATACATCTGCTTGCTTTCTGATCAACTATAAGACCCAGAGGTAAAAAGCAGGAGCAATGCTGCAGTCAGTAAAAAAAGAGGGAGCCTTGTCCCTGCCATATATTATCTGATATTGCATATTCCAGGGATAAAACCCAAGGAACTTTCCTTTTTGCTGCTGTTTTTTCTTCTCTCTAATCTGCTGCTTACCTGTGAATGATCTTTTCCCAGCTTGTTACAAGAGTAATACTCTGATTGTCTTTCCAAAAGAAATTGTATTCTGAAGGCAAATGTGGCCTTCAGTTGTACTGCTGCTTATTTTGTGCCTTAGGGAGAATTCTTTTTCAGCTTTTCTCCCCACAATGACTTTGTGTATTGAAGCTAACTGCTTTATTCTTCTCCACAGGTTAGTAACAGTTCTGGAGAGACATTAGGAGCAGACAGTGACCTGAGCAGCAATGCTGGTGATGGCCCAAGTTTGGAAAATGGTGGCAACTTGGCAGGATCCAGAGGCACGGTGTCAGACAGTGAAATTGAGACAAACTCTGCTACTAACTCTATCTTTGTAAGGGCATTGCAGGCATTTATCTTTTCTTTTTCTTTTTTTAATTACCTCTCATACAATAGTTGTTTCATCTTGCACCATGTTACAGCCTCTAGCTGTTTTTAATTCCCCCTCATTCAATATTTCTCTCAACCAAATGGACATTTAATTGCCCTTCATAGGCAAAACAACATCAGTGGGATTTATTCAACCTTACCTAGGAGGAATAAATTCCCTGTTTCTAAACAATTGTTTATTTTTCTGAAGTCCTTGATTATTTGATATAACCTCTAATATGCATCTTACCAAGAAAGTAACTATATGATTATTTTGGCTAAATCAAGCTTGCAATGCTTGAAAACAACTTGCAATGCTTAAGATTGTTCTCATTGTGTTCATTATTTTATAATCCTCCCAAGATTGTAAAAGGTTTTAGAGGGCTTTTACTTCTAATTTTAAGCAACAAACAAAATTATTGTGTTTCATTGCAGTTTTCTTCCACAACCCTATAAATGATGTAACCATGGGTACTTATTTAGCTGCAAGAGGGTGTCTTCTCAGTTACTAAAGAGCTATTTTTTTAATACTTAGTTTTCTGCTTTTTTCCACTTGATTAATGAAACTACACAGAATTTTATGAAACCTTACAACAGATTTAGGAAAAAGGTGATGGTTGCACATGATGCATGATGGATGTGAAGTTTACCTGGTGATAATACACCATAATTTACCTGGTGGTAGAGAAATAGATGGGCCAGTGTTATCATCACAGCTCCTGCTGGCTGATACTCCCAGCACACAGTTCTTCAGACCAGATGATATGTAATCATTTGCTTAACATCATACCCTTATGAATGGTAGATGAAAGATAAACCTGTATAGTGTGAATGTGAGAAAGTGCTCAGGTAATCTTATTCTGCTTGTGAGAGCTGGAGGAAGACAAATGCAGCCTTCACAGGACTACACAGAACATGAATATCCACAATCTGTACAATGACAGTGATGCTCAGCTATTTCCCAAACAGTGGGAAAGATTTACCATTAGAATTTGGGCAAACTTACTGGAAAAGGGTGAAATGTGAGGGATGACAGAAGAGGTTTAACAGTTCCTTCCTTTAGTCTGGGTTTTGCATTTTTTGTTTTGTCTCAGTTTTCCTTCAGAGAAGCATTTTGCTTCCTCTGTGTTTTGATTTTGATTTCTCTATTGCCCTCTCTTTATTCTTCCTTCTTCTAACTCTGTGCTTTGAAATGTCTCTTTGAACAGAATAATTTATTTGTTTTGTGAACATTTGTGGGAGAAGCATGTCTGAAGAATAGCTTGCAAACTGCATCTGTTAAGCAAGACTGCAAGAAACAGCCCTGCAGGGCACAGAGTTAAAGTGTCTGACACCTCTTGTATTATTTTTCAGGCAAAGTCTCACAACCTGAAGCAGGGTGTGAAGGATAGCAAAGGCAGTACTCCAGGGAAGGGTCCAGAGGTTGGGAGCCAACGTGTCTATCTCTACGAAGGACTTTTGGGTAAACTGGTTTGTTTGTTTGTTTGTTTTGTGGGAAGGGTTCTTTTAAATTGAAGTTCAGGTGGTCTCATGTCTGGGGCAGACTGGAATTTTTATATTCCCATAAGCTACTTTTAGCCCCTTACTGTTGTCCATGCTGGTAGGCTAGGAGTAAACATCAAGCTATTGAGAATAAAGCCAAAGATTTTCTGGGGAGATTAAATAAAAGGAAAAGGATGTGAGTGGTATAATTTGCATAAAATCTGTATTTAAGTTTCTTGCTGTTCTTGAATATGAATTATTTAAACTATTGGAAAGAGAACTTACTTTGCTATGCATGGAAGGCTAAAATGTGTCACTGATCTTGAAAAAAAGATCCTTCAGCTTAAGTCATTGAACAGAGCTACTAAACTTGGAAGATTAATGGCTCTTCAGTGTATTGAGTGTGTTCTTGAGTTAGAAGTATATTGTCTTTTCTGAAATGTCTCTCATCTAGACTTGCTGTTAATCAAGAGCTCTCTCTTCCTCTGTTTTTCATCCTTTCCATTTATCGTTCCTACCTGCTTGGAATGGTGCAGGTAGGGATAAAGGATCTGTCTGGGACCAGTTAGAGGATGCTGCAATGGAAACCTTCTCTATGAGTAATAATCTTTCCACTTCTCTGTGTGTTTGCTGTGATCTGTGTTTGTGTGAGATATTCCTCTCTCTTTCGGGCAATAGTAGCAGTCTGTGGAAGAAGATATTCTCCTTAAGGAGTAGAGATGAGGGGTACTTCTGTGTAAGGGTTTGAAAAGATTATACCATGAAGTAGAGTGAGAAATGTGTCTCTCCTTCTCTTTTACACTTTTCTTCAGCTGTGATATTGCTTGTGGTTTAAAAGCAACATTTTGTTTTAATACGGATTGTGTGTTGGCCTGTAGTATTTTCAAGGAGTGGGAAGGTACAGAAATTTTAGTATTTGACTGGAATAAATGGAATAAATGTTCAATTTTTGTGTACACTGCCTAGGCAAAGAGCGTTCAACTTTGTGGGACCAGATGCAGTTCTGGGAAGATGCTTTTTTGGATGCTGTGATGTTAGAGAGAGAAGGAATGGGGATGGACCAGGGACCTCAGGAGATGATAGACAGGTAAAGTTTTTCAGTAGACTTCTTTCTTCCTTATTGTTTTACCTGGGGCTGAAATAGTAAAAATAATAATAATAAAAAAATTCTGCTGAACATGCTATTGTCACTTTGTAAGCTTTTTCCTGGACCTGACTGTTCCAAAGTGAGCCTTTTGTCTCTGTGCTGACTGGTATCTCCTGATACTGAAATACTGTCTTCAGTTGTGATGTGTATTTTTTTTAAGTCCTGTGAAGAAGTGATATTTCCAGAGAAGTGGGTAATGTGGGCATAATCACAGGATGAATAGATGGAGTAGACTAAATGAAGAGTAAAGCAAGACATTTCTATGACAAGAAATTTATTCCATTTCTGGAACAAAGGGAAGGAAAAAAAAAAGTGAAGGAATTATATGTCTTCAGAAACTGCATTTTGAGCTTTCTCAAAGTGCAAAGTCATTCATAGGTGTTTTTACTTCACAGTTTGTAGTTAAAACAAACAAACAAAAAAAACATGAAGGCACCACTCTCTAGAAATACAACCATGGTTGCTTAAATCTAGACTGCCTGTAAGGTGTCAGTCTTCACTACATGCCTGCTTTTCTTTCTCAGCTTTCTTTATATCTGATCATTCTCTGCTTGGTCTACTGCTTGCACCTACACCCATGTTGTCATGTAATATGGGGTCTGGGAGCCAAAATCTGATAGTTTGTGGGGTGCTAGGTGAAAACTATTTCTTTTTCCACAACCTACCTACCTTTACTGGAAAATGAGAGTGCTTCTGTGCTTCCTTCATCAATTTACTTCAGCCTTCCAGCTGCATTTAAGCCCTGAAGGCTGGTAGCTCTTGAGCTGAATTATCTGTTTCTCTTCTGGCAATTCTAATTGTCATGGAGCTGCAACAGAAAAGAGGAAATGGACTCATCAGACCACTGAGCAGATGTTACTTAGTTCAACTAGTTAATGATAATTGGAAATATTTAATTAGCCATCACAGCGTTTTACTGGAAAATGCCCATTTGGCTTAGTGTTTTTGGAGGTTTTATTTGCCATACACTTAACAAAGAGTGCTCTGCCTTCTGCCAGGGCTTTAGTGAATTGGGTGAAGAATTCTTGTGGGTCTGCTTCAAGATCTGGCTCTTCTTGCAGGTACCTTTCCCTGGGAGAACACGATCGAAAGCGTTTGGAGGACGATGAGGACCGCTTGCTGGCTACACTGCTGCATAACATGATTGCTTATATGCTGATGATAAAGGTGACTCCTTTTTCTTTTTAATAGATCACTGCTCAGATTTTAGCAGTATGTTTTGTTGGTGTTGTCTTGAAACCATATATCTCTGTTCACAGAGCCCAGAACAGTGAGGTATAAAAGAATGTTAGAAAACGTCTCCTAATCTTAATGAAAAAATCACTTCAGTACCCAGAGATTCTTTGAGATTTGTTGTTTGTCTTAACCTGGTTTTATGCCATGTGTATACATATACATAGCCATTTAAAATAGAAATTTACTATTTCTACTAGTAACTTTAGAGGACATTCTTATTTTTAAGAATATGGGTTATAAATGAAATAGAGAGCATCTACCTGATTTCCTCACAGCTGCAATTCCAAATACAGGCAGATTGTGAATATACATATCAATAATTTAACAGGAAATGTACCATTATGATTAAGCAATCCTTTTTTTGTCTTATTCATTGGGCTATCTATAGGCACCTTAATGCTGCAGGTGGCTACTAGCAATATCTTTCATTTAGTTTGAATAATTTCTTAGATAGTCCAAATCTTCCCTCAAAGTCAGTGGAAAATCAATCTTCTAATATTTTTGTCATGTTTAGAACCATCTTAAAAACCCACAACCTTTAAAACTGTGGTTTTACCTGTAACAGGCACTGTGCTGTTCTGTGCAACAGCTGGACAGTAAGAATAGCTGAAGACAGGTGATAGTTTGGTAATGCTCACTGTTTAAATTAGGAGGTGGGGCATCATTCCCTAGATAAAGAATGTGTGCTACCTAACCAGTGGAAGAATTTATGATATGTAATTTTGAGGGAAGGGAGTAGTGAGAGAGGAAGAAGGTATTGATTTTTCCTGCCATAAATGGCATGTGGAGGTAAGTTTTAGTTGGAGTATATTTGGAATGAGTTTATTTCAGAAGAAGACAGGGAGATTTGGCTATTAGGGCTTGCATTGCTGAAGTACTTAAAGCTGAATTAATGATAACCAGTGCAGCTATTTTCATCAAAAGATGCAAAGGAAGCAAATAATATTGGTTTCAAAAGGCTGTCTCTTGAGACATGTTGATAGAGTTAACCCCACAGGGGAAAAGTGGCGTTTGGTGTGGTGAAACTAATCAAATCCCCAATTAAACATTTACATGGGGGAAATGGATAAGGAGGCAAACAGGATGTTGTGCCTTTGAAAATGATATCACTCTGGGCCTGGCAGTTATAGATGAGAAGAAAAATAAGCATCTGCCTCATGTTTTTTACCTAAAAGAAATGCTGAAAACTACAATGCTTTCTTTCAAGTGCAAAGAATTCTTGCCAAAAGGAGGGGTCAAGGAGCTTGTTCTGTATATTCTGTAGCATTAAGGTCATAGTCACACTGATTAAAAAGAATGTCCAGTCTAGCCTGGAGTCAGCACTCAAGCACAAGAACTGTCTTGAAGCTTTTAGCATCAATGGCTGGCATTCACAATAGCCTTTTGAAAAGACTTCTGAAGCAGAAATGTTTTGCTTCCCTGCAGCTCATCTTCAGAAGGAACCTACTGCTCTTTGAGGATTATCTGGAAACATTTGTTAGAACCCTGGCCTAGTGACCAGGAGACAAATCAAGAAAGAGCAAAAATCCTGAAAGATATTGTATCTTTGTGTTACTGTTTCTTGTGCTGAGGGTTCCATGGTTGCCTAAATCAGCTCTGCAGAGGTGGAGAAGCTAGCCTGGCAGATGAGACTCATCACATAAGTGGCAACACAGAGCACTGAGGCTTTTGATGTCAGTAGCTGGAGGTGGATGGGAGTTGAGCTGCTGCTCTTGTGCAAGAGAAGGCAGCAAATCTGCTCTCCACAGCACCACCTGCCCAGCAGCTGGGAGAAGTGGTGTACATGCAACTGCTGCTTGCACTGCTGGGCTGAAGAGGCTCTGGCATGACTGAGCTGGGTATCAGTTTTGCTGCCTTAGAGATGGAAACCAAGATGGGTTGGTTTTGGGAGAGAGCAGTTTATTCCTAGAGTGTGTAACTGTCTTTATATCTGCTTTCCAGGTGAACAAGAATGATATCAGGAAAAAGGTGCGTCGTCTAATGGGGAAATCACATATTGGATTGGTGCACAGCCAGCAAATAAATGATGTTCTAGACAAACTTGCCAACCTGGTAAGTAAAAGAGCAGCAAGTGTATCTGTGGGAGCTACAGTGGAGGAAAAATATGATCTGAAAATTCTCTGCAGCACTAATTGAAAAATTTTTAAAAGAATTAAATTATCAATCACTGCCTTCACATCTACAGGATCAAGTTTGTGATTGTATGACCCTGTTGAGAAGATTATGTTATGCAGTTATCAGTTAGAACTGCAGTCCAAATATGTATAAACGTGACACTTCAGTACTCTATGCAACCCTAATGTTTTCTTAATATAATTTTTGTGGGTGGGAGCTTTTATTCTTACTAGGACAGAGTGTTTAGTTTTCTATTGATTACCAGGTCATAAGACTTGCAACAATCAGTTTCTATACAAAACTATTTCCACTATCAACTGCCATGTAGAATAAAACTTGTGTCCTGCAATCCTCATTAGCAATGTAGACTAACACTTGAGTTAGTAAAACCAGCCAGCTTTTAACACAGCCATCTCTAGGGGGTGGATGCAAGTTAGGCCCTTGGAAAGCTAATTTCTCAAAGTATTTTTATTATTGGAACTTGGTTTTATGCACAGAAAAGACACAAAATTACCTTACAGTTAGTTGAGAAAAAGGAAACCAATTTCCTGCCGTATTACTGGAACCCAGACACCTCATTACCCCAAGCTGAGTGTGGTACCAGTATGATTGTTTTTGTGTGCTGTGATAACTCTCACAGTCACACTTGTTGAAACTAGATTTACTAGATTTAGTATCTTGCTTAAGATTTATTTTTAAACAAATTTATCTTATCTTAAACTTAGGAAGACTTTGTCCAAAATTGCCTCCAGACAGCTGTGCTACAAATATTTCTTTTATTTTTTTTTTTTTGAAAATACTTCTGGCATCATCCAATGGACTTTTTGTCAGTAGTTCAGAAGGAATTGGTTTCAAAGTTCATTAATGATTGCATATGGGTGTTTTTTTTTTCCTCTAGAGTGGCCGGGAACTCCCCGTGAGACCCAGCGGCAGCCGCCACATCAAGAAGCAAACTTTTGTAGTTTATCTTACCTTAAACTTATGAAGATTTTGTCCAAGATTGCCTCCAGACAGCTGTGCTACCAATACTTCTTTTATTTTTTTATTTTATTTTTTGAAAATACTTCTGGCATCATCCAATGGACTTTTTGTCAGTAGTTCAGAAGGAATTGGTTTCAAAGTTCATTAATGATTGCATATGGGTGTTTTTTTTTTCCTCTAGAGTGGCCGGGAACTCCCCGTGAGACCCAGCGGCAGCCGCCACATCAAGAAGCAAACTTTTGTAGTGCATGCTGGGACAGACACAACAGGAGACATATTCTTCATGGAGGTAGAGCCAAGAAGAGTGCTAACACAACCAGCAGCATTCAGTAAATCATGTGATAGATCTTATGTACTGCCTCATTCTCCCAGGTCTGTGACGACTGCATCGTGCTGAGAAGCAACATTGGGACCGTGTACGAACGTTGGTGGTATGAGAAGCTCATCAACATGACTTACTGCCCCAAAACTAAAGTGCTGTGCCTCTGGAGGAGGAATGGGCAGGAGACACAGCTGAACAAGTTCTACACAAAGAAGGTAGTCATCTTACTTCATGCATGCAATACTGAGGAAAAACTCCATGGAACGAACTAATTATTTATGTGTCATATTCCACGTTTAATCAAAAACCAGCATTTTTTCTCCAACACTGGTTACAGAACTGCAGTGGCTGTTTAACAGCACTGACACCTGCTTTATGCTTTGTCATTTACCTGAAGACAGTAGTACAAGATGTAATTTAAGGAGTTAAATGTGTAGCTTTTACATGGGATTTTGTTGTTGTTGTTGTTTGTTTGGGTTTTTTTTTGTTAGAAGAAGGCAGATATCAGTATTACTAAATATTGTGTGAGCTTACAGGCTTATAAAAGGAATAAAAACATTGTGGGACAAAAGACCAAGAAAAATACGTCTTAGTAATTGAGTTAATTGTGTCATTTTTAATGGCAAACCCAAATTAACAAAACAGGTAAAAAAATTTTCCCCATGGGCCCATGTTTGATTTTTATTTTGTATATGCATCCATTCTCCATTAATATGAAAGCCCTTTTCTTCTCCTTATAATTAATTGCAAATATAAGGAAATAGTTTAAACCTACTAGGAAAACTTGAGGAACTCATAGAACTCTAGTAACTCTACACAGTGACCAGCAAACAAAAGATAAAGGTTTGTAAATGCAAGTAATATATTGAAAGGATATTATCTTTTGATTAATATAAAAGGATTAGAGTTCCTCAAAAAATTAATTTTATCTAGACCAGGTCATCATAATGTAAGTGTGAAGAATAAAACCAGAAAGCTACAGAAATTACTTGGAAAATCAGATGCATCTATCTTGGACTTGGGATAGAAAATTTTCTTAAATTTTACTCTGAGATTGTGGCCTAACTATTATTTGTACTGGAGAGGGGAGTTGGAGGAAGATAAATTGAAGAGTATAGCATAAGGAAACTGATATCAATAACAAATAGATCATATGAGCAGGACCAGTAACTTGCATTGCTGGAAGGGGAAAGAAAGGGAGGGATTGTGGTGTTGTTTTGGGGCTTTTTCTGCGTTAGGGTTATCGAGTTTATCAACTTGAAAAATAAATCTAAATACCATCTAGTAATGTGGTTGAACTTTTATAGGCTTTTTGTTGTTCTGCACTCCACGGGGCTTGTTCTGTCTGTAGAATCTTAGACTCTGGGTGTTCTCTTCCCTTTGGAAAAATAACTTTGTATTACTCTTCTTTTACATGTTAGTGTCGGGAATTGTACTACTGTGTAAAAGACAGCATGGAAAGAGCAGCAGCAAGACAGCAGAGCATTAAACCAGGTACAGGATTTTGCTGCTTGGGAATATCTGTTGTTTAATCTGCAATCAACCTTTTTTTTTTTAATTAATAGCTTTCTTGAACATAATCTCCTCTCAATTGGAGATCTTGAGGTAGCGTTGTACCTCCGTGTGTACATAGCTTAGTGTTGTCATTAACTTGCCACCTCACTCTAAATACAAACAAAACCAAAACACCTCTTAAGAGTTGTATGTAAGGAGGTCTAGCTGCCAGTAAAATGATAACTAGAAAAGACTATCAGACTTCAGCTTCACCTTTTCTTCATGGTTGGCTAGCTGCTCCTCATATTCCTGATGGAGATGTAGAACTACGTTGTCCACTTTGTGTTGAGAATTGATAAATACACTATGTTTATGTAGTTTGTCTTATTTATACTTTGTGTTAGTGAATCTGCAGCTTTCTGTGGACTTCCAGTGTGTAAACCTTTTCTCTATTAGAAAGTTTCAGACTGGTGTAAGTCAAAAGGTGCAGTTAAGCCAATATCCTTTCAGAAATATAACTTTAGATATTTTTCATAGTTTTGCATCATCATCTGGGTCAGAATAGTGTAATTATACTGGTGAAACTTCTTGGCAAACACCCCTTTCCTTTTCCTGTTGAGTTAAAACAAAAAGAAATAGAAAAGTGGATTTGCAGCTTGGAGAAATTTGAGTTCTTGGGGAGGCAATTTTCCATTTTTCTTAGTCCCTTGAGAGCTGCAGGTGCTGGATGTAACCTGGGAAACAAACATGAAAGTGGCTTATTTTATACCCTTATGAGATGATTTTTAACTCCCTTGCTGGAGTCTGTTTGCAGGTTCAGGGTAACATTATTCTGGTTTTGTGTTTTTAAGTTGGATTTTTTTTAATTGCAACTATTCCTTTGCTTTTTGAGTGAGTGCTAAGTCTCTGAGAGCCATGCTTTGATGTAAAAGCCTATTTGTGGTGTACAACTGCCAAATCTAAGGGATCTACATTTAATACTCATAACTTGCATCACCATGACTGAGAAAAATAACTTGAAATGTTTAAATCTATGTTTTACATATTTAAATCAAATGTTTAAATTTAGCATCCTAAGTGTTCAACCTTCAGCTAGCTTTTGGGTCTTAGAAGAGCCACCATTGTCTTCCTCCTACCATTATTCCAGTTTAATTTGAGGAGGGGGAGGAAGGACTGGACTTTCACTGAGGGTGGAGGAAGGAAAAGTAAAGAATTGGGCAATAATGTAGTATCAAAAATGTGTTTGACAGCCATTCTCCAGAGTTCAGTGATTCTGCACAAATGATATTTTAAAAAAAATCATAAGAAAGCATTTTATAGCTGAACTAAATGATGCAAAAGAAACTAGATGAAAATGCCTAGATTTTATTCTTTTAATGTCCTCTATTAAATTGCCACTGTTGTAACCACGTTGGCTTTCTCATTGCTGAAGGCATAAAACAATGCCATACAAAATCATCAAGCTCACAAATGCAGGTCTAGTTTGGGCTTGCTTATGTGTTTGGACTTAAGACTATGCTGTATGTGGCATCTTACCATGCAGAAATGAAATGTGGCATTGAAAACAAACAAAACCTCAGCTGACATCAATGTCCCTTCTTGTAACCAGGATGAAATTTGTTAGGCTCCTTCAAAGTACTGGTTCTCAGAAGGCTGTTGTTAGTGAGTGGACTCCACTGAAATGCTCCTTGCTGTTCTTGATAGTGTCCTTTTGCTGTGCATATCAAATGGAAATTATGTTTTTATTGTTTGGTATTTCCCTTCCACATATCATGACTTGGCTGATTGCTTTCTGTTCTTTCTCTCTCTGTCTCTGTCTCTCTCTTTCTGGATATTTTTGTTTGTTTGTTTGTTTGTTTTTAAATTAACATCTCACAGGCCCTGAGTTGGGTGGTGAGTTCCCAGTGCAAGATATGAAAACTGGTGAAGGAGGTCTTCTTCAGGTCACACTGGAAGGAATTAACCTGAAATTTATGCACAGTCAGGTATGAGGGAAACCTATGAGAAGACTTTGAGCATGAAGCTTTTTGGAGCACACCTGTATATGTGTTTCCTCTTCCCAGAGTGGCAACCAGGACAAGGGGATAAAAAGCCATATGTGTATTTAAACACAACCACACATGCATATATAAAGCTATATATGTATGTAAAAACACACTGAAATTAAATATCCTTAGGAAAACTATAATTAGCTGAAGATAAATGTTGATACAGGTTTCAGCTTCTTGTTTCTGGTGGTTTGAATTGTCTAAGGAGATAGCAAATGGTAGCCAGTATATTAAGGGATGGAAAAAGTGATCAATAGCAATCTAAACAGCCATAATGCATCACATTGTGAACTTATCCTCATGGCATAACCAGTCAGCCTTAAACATACAGTGCTGGAGTGTTACAGGCATAGGGGGCAACCTTTGGCAGCATGTTTAATCTGTCTTGTTTTAAAATTTGAGCAACCATCTGTAGAACTGAGTAGGAACATAAAAGGGGAAAGTGGCTCTGGCTGTAATTCACCAAAATAAACCCCACGATGGGTTCTTTTCTCCTTCCAAATACCAACTCTTGTGGGCGTAGAGGAAACACAACTGGAATTGTCATTTCTTCCTTTCTCCAGATGTTGTTTCTGTTGCTTCCTTTGATCCTTGTTTTTTATTTTGCTTTGTGTTTTGTTTTGTTTTGTTTTGCATGAGAGAGAGAGAGTTTTGTCAGCCCTCCGTGAAGTGCTTTTTCCTTTCCTTCTGACTAGACTTTTCTTCCCACACAAGCTTTGCTCTTCTTGGAGGATACATCAGTGTAGATCCGACTGGAAATGCGTGTGCATCTCAAACACATGCTCAGAATCTTTAGGACTTCTCCCAAGGTCACAGAAGCACCCTGTGCCTCTTTTGTGCCAGTATAAGGAGTGGGGAGTTGTGAACCTTCTTCAGTTTTCTTCATGTCTACTGCCAGGGTAGAACCTAGACTACAGCTGACCTGCTCCAGTATTACAAACCTGTTTTGTGATGGAACAGTCTACCTGACTTAGATTTTAACTTTTTATTGGTTATGCTGAAATACAAAGAGCTGCAAGAGGAACTCATCAGTAGTAGAGACTGAATTTTCCTAGTTATTGGAAACAGCAGGTCTAAAGCCTTTGACAATTAAACCCTAGTTTTGAAGGAACAGTTACATCTGTTGTTATAGGTGGCTGTAACAGCCATGACTTTGTCAAAAGGTAAGGGCACTCCATAGGGAATGTTCTGTTTGCTACTTCTTTTTCTTCTTCTGCCAGAAGTCAAAAGCAATGTTGAGCTCAAACTGCTCATCTCTTGAACAGTCTGTGGAGATGGCTCTCCTTCATAAATGAACAGCTAGGCATATATGCATTTACAGTGAAAAACCATAAGAAGGTAGCAACATCATCATCATGGTTTATTAGATGTAACAGGCATCTCCACAAGACAGAGACACTCAGTGTTAAGCACATAAGTGAGCACATGCATCTGCCCAAATGAAAAACTCCAAATCCTAGAGTATACTCTTGTCCTTAAATTCAAAAGCTTTTATTTTTTTTCTTTTCCTGAAAGACTGGAATGATATTCTGAAAGAAATCTTAGAGAAGCTACTATAGATTGTTATTATATGACTGTCAGGACCATTATCAGTTGAATTTTGTACCACAGATACTGAGTCTTGTGCTACCACCAGCACTCCTAGAGTATTAGCTTTATCATATCCTTCCTTACAGTGGAAGTGTTCTAATTGTCTGTCTGTGATGAAAGTTGCTACATCTTTTCTGGAAGACATATCTCTTCAGGTCAGGCCCAGGAAGTATGCCACCTATTGTCACCTGAATGGTTATTCCTCCTCTTCACCACCTTTCCAATGAGGCTGTAGCCTGATGAGTTTCCATTACTTAGGATGGGTATTGAAACAGGTACAGAAGTAGAGTTCTGGAAAATACACTTGATTTATTCAGTATATTTAATTCTTGGTCTGTTAGATTGACATTGGCAGCTGGCAAGAATGTTTGGTGCTGTTTAGTGGAGCTAAGACATGACCTTGTTTTCCTTCTCAAAAGGAAGTGTCTACACAAGTATCAGAAGTCTGCCATGTGAGAGTAGAGAATGGACAATTGTAGCAGCTGTGTAAAGGACTCCTAGTAGTTATATGAAAAAAATCCTCTCCAATTTTGTAATCTGTGGAGCTGAAGGATGTTTGTATTCTTAGACTAACACTCATCAGCCAGCCTGCTTTCTTCATAAAACATCTGCTCTTCTAAACAAACTGCCCTTTCCAGGTCTCATTGAAATTCTGTGGATTGCTCCTTAAGGCACCTGATTTCAGAATAAGTATATGAGCATGATGTTGGACAAGGGAGGAGCTGAGGGTGTCATCTATCTGGACTTCTGTAACAGCTTGGAGGTGGTCCCCCACAACATCCTTCTCTACCAATTGGAGAGAGATGGATTTGATGGGTGGACTGTTGATAGATAAGGACTTGGTTGGATGGTAGCATCTGGAGAGGTCAGTGGCTCTATGTCCAGGTGAACATTAGTGGCAGGTGGTGTCCCTGAAGTGGTCCATACTGGGACCAGTGCTGTTTAATATCCTCAGTGATGCAGACAGTGGGACTGAGCACCTTCAGCAGGTTTGCAGGTGACATCAAGCTGAGTGGTGCAGTTGAGGCCTGAGTGATGGGATTTCAGCCAGGGGACCTGGACAAGCTTAAGAACTGGGTCCTTGTGAACCTTATAAGCTTCAACAAGGTCTTTTTGTTAGTTGTGAACCTCATAAGCTTCAACAAGGTCTTTTTGTTAGGTCCTGTTGTGACAGGACAAGGGGGGAGATTTAGACTACATAGAAGGAAGAAATTTTTTACAATAAGAGTGGTGAAACACTGGCCCAGGTTGCCCAGAGATGTGGGAGATACCTCAGCCCTGGAAACATTCAAGATCAGGTTGGATGGGGATCTGAGCAACCTGATCAAGTTGAAGATGTCCCTGCTCACTGCAAGAGGGTTGCACTAGATGACTTTTAAAGGTCTCCTGCATCCCAAAGCATCCTGTAATTAAAACCAGGATCCTACAGCCATTTTTCTGTGTTGAAAATGACTTTTTCTGGTTTTGGATGGGGTTACCCACCAAAAAATGCTTACAGAACCTCATCAGGCATAGTTTTCATCTTCTTCTCCTTAGTCCATATACAGGCCCTGTTCTTGGCTGTCTTTCCAAGTACTCTTTTCAGCAATGCAACTTAGTGATTATAACTTAGTGAAATAAGTGATTTTTGTTGTTCTGCTTGATTGCACATCATAGAAAAAAAAAATAAGAACATAGGAAGAGGGGTTTCCACTTTAAAAATAAAAAAAGATAAATGGAGTCTATTCTGTCCTACCTGAGAAGACTGAACATACTGCTTCATGGTTAGAATGGGGCTGGATTTCATGAACCTGCTTTTGAAGGCTCTTGGTCTGCAGCATGTCCACTTCCTTACTGCCTTGTGAATTCCTCAAGAAATGCCTTAGGTGGGTGGTGGACCAACTATTATTGATGGGTGATAGTTGTCTTTAGTGTTCCCACATGGTCTTATCCTGCTGGCAGCACAGAGAAGTTTAAGAAGTAGAAATGTTGGAGTTTTATCTATGCCTAGCAGCTCAGAGGAAGTCCTTTGGAATAGGGAGGAATCAAGTGTACCTGTCACATTGGCAGATTATTCTGAGTTGACATCTACAAGTTAATATTATAATATTGGGATTTGGTAACTCTGTCCCTGCAATAAATGAATCTGTGTCAAAAATAGATGGAAATTTAATTAAATGTAGCAGGCACATGCCCATCTTCAGTAGGATCCACACTGAATGCTCTGTCTTGAAGAACCACAGGCTCCCTAGGGTAAGTAAGTAACTGTTCCTTCCTTTATGCTTGTTTTCTGATTGAGAGGAGAGCATCTCTGTCCCTTAAATATAACAAGAAATTGCCCATCAACTCACACATCTTCTGAAAACTGGTAACTTACTGTAACTGGGACCAACTCAATAAATTCTCATCTTGCTCAGAACTCTTGTGGAAGGGCAGCACTTCCTAGAGCTGTGCTCAGATCATGAGCACCTGCAGCAGTCAAGTCTTTTAGGGAAGCCTTTACTGGGTAAAAGAACCAATGTTTAGCCTGAGACTCAACAAGGTTCTGAATTTTGTACTTTACTAGCAAAACCTTTTCACAGAACATATTACAAAAAAGGGAAACTAAGTGCAATAAAGAGTCTTGTTATTGCCTTGTTTACTCCATAAGTATTCCTCAAAAAAAAAAAATGTATTTGACCAACTAAACTGATACAGAACATGGGCAAAACCAAGCAAACAAAAAAGATGGGATTAAGTCTCCTTTCAGTGCTTGTATGTAAGAGAAAGCAAGCTTCAGATTTTCTGATTGAGTGGAAATTTAGTTTTTTACATTGAGACAAAAAGACCTTGGGTCTGTTTGCTAGTTCTCTGCTAATAAAAATAATAATAAACCCCCTTTGACTTGAAAATCAGCCTGATTTTTCTCAGACAAATAGGGCATTTACTGATCTCTATGGATACAGATAATCCTGTTTCTCAAAAAAAAAAAACAAACCACTTTCTGGTGTTGACTTCCTTTACCTTTCTTGGGTAGCATATCATCTATGATTACATGGGTGTTGCTCATTTTGGATTCAAGAGGGTTGCAGAGTTTCCCTTTCCTTTCTTACCAAGACAATGAAGTTTCTCTAGTAACATTTTTTAAGAAGGTCCCAAGATCATGGTGTCATAAGTGTGTAGACACTGAAAATACTAATCCAGGCTGTTGTAATATAGTCTTGCAAGTCTCTCTCAAAGGTGTTTGACACAGATTTACTCTGAATGTTAGGGCAATGTTAAATTTAGTGTTTCTCTTGCCTTGAAAAATCAAATATATTAGAAACTGGACTATGGAATTGATTCCTTATAGCACTTTCTACAGCTTCTTATATCTGTGTACTGACTCTGACCCTTTTGGAGATGTGTGTGTCAGAAGGGACTGGTTTGTATCTTGAAATAGATTGGATGTTGAACAAACTTATGCTCAGAGAACTTGTTTATTCATGTAAACTTGGCATCCAGGTTCTGGACTGACAAACCTAGTCATGTAGTTCAATTTTGAGGTAAAATTGTCTTTTGGGGTAAAACACAAGTTTAAAGCAGGTTTGTTTTCTCAGTGACTGCAGCCATATGTGAAGTGAGCAAACAGAGAAGGGTCCAAACTCACCCATCCTGCTGAGAGGAGAAAACTGGTAGTGACTGATAAAGGAGACAGTTCCAAGTGTAAAGATGCAGAAAAGTGTAGTAAAATCATAAACAGCAAGAGAGATCAGTGGTTTCTCACTGGATTAAATTGGATGACAGGTTAGGAGGATCAGTGAGTAGTGCCCCTTACCTGCCCTCTGTGCTGGAGGAGGATGCATGGAGGGGCAGAAGCTAACTGGGATGCAGCACAGGCTACAAACCATGCCAAATTGGGGAGCCAGCTTTTTGGTTTTTTTTTTTTCCCTCGTCCCCCCTCTTCTGTTGTATTTCAGGTGTGTTGATATTCTTTTTGCAATAACTCATTTGAGTGCCTGGAGGGGTAGCAATGTTGGATATGTCAGAGTTACTAACTCCTTCGTTTCTCTTCCATGCTTTCTCCTCCTGCAAGGAGCGGAAGGTACTTCATCTTCTGCTGTCTTTGCTTCTTAGCACTTTTAAGTTATTTGTTGATTTCTAGCATTGTGGCATGTTTGTCTTTCAAATAGTTATTTCACCCTTTATTTCTATATTAAATTGTAAATGAACTGATAGCACGTGCTATAATACCTCAGGTTGTACCCGCTGTGATGACGTTTTGGTTTGATTTTGGGGTTTAGTTTAAAAAAAAAACCCCAACATACTGACTAATTTTATGTTCCTTTTCCTCCTGTTTTTTGTAGGTTTTCATAGAGCTGAATCACATTAAAAAGTGCAATACTGTGCGAGGAGTCTTTGTCCTGGAGGAATTTGGTAATTACATTATTTTGATATTAGGTCTGTACTCACATGGCAGTAACTCAAATTTCCAGTATTCAGTTCAGAGTTGTGCTGCAGTTTCAAAGGTGGAAGAGAAATGTAGATTACACATGTGAAGTTGCCATCTCTGGGTGACTTAACATAAAAAATTCAGACATTCATTTTCATCATATTAAGATTTCTGGCCTAGGTCTGTTTTGTTGATAGACAGAGAAGATGCTCTGAGTCTTTTGAAGCAAACAAAACAACAGATAAACTTGGATGCCTGTAGGAATTTTCTTTGGTATGTGCCTTTTCATCTGAGAACCATTTTTAAACACAACTTGCAGCTGATCTTTCTCAACACACTATGCTGTCATTACAAATAATTACTGTTAATTGCAAAGTTTCCTCTTTTGTCTGTGTGGAATTTCGTTTTTGTTGGATGGAGGAGAAGATGTTTTGTGAGGTTGCACTTTATTTTTCCTGTGGTTTTTGTTTTGGAGCCTGTAAAGAGTAAAGGTTAAAGAGAATAGAGAATTTATGCTATTTTGGTCAGTTATTGCTATTACATAAAGTCTGCCTACAGTCCTAGTTTAGGGAAGACTGTAGGTTACTAGCTGTAATCCAGTTCAGTGTCAGTCACACTGTACTTAACTGGTGACTAAAAAAAGGGGACTAACTTCAGGTACAGCTCTCTGGAAGAGTGAACCACATAATTCTCTGGAAATAGTCCCCAAATCCATATTGGTTTATTCTTCCATTCATCCATGAGACATTTGTCTAGCTCTTAAGTGTATGAAATCTTTTGAAAGAAGATAAAATTTACAACATTCTTCCCATAGCAGATCAGCATCCACATTTTGGCTATTAATCAAAATCTAAACCAGCAGCTCCCTTACCAAGACTCTCGTTGTTCTTTGGTGCTGTGAACAGAATGTTCTGGCTGAGGGATTCTCTCTTAGAATATAGAAGACAGCTAATATGAGTTGTCTGCACTTTATGGTTGCATATTCCTTTGATACCATGTTGTCACCCTGATGGGCATGATTCATTGCACCACTTACAGAAATTGCTTAAGAAATTGATGAGTTTTACAAAGGAGAGGGTTCAGAGGCCATAAAATTAGCTTAAAGAATGGCTTCAGCTGCTGAAATCTTTAGCTTAAAAGAAATTACTTGGATCAGAAATGAATTTTGCATCATTTTTTTGAGAGATTTTTAACACAAAAGAATACTTTAATACTTTTAATACTTTGTTGATATTACACAAGGACAGTGTTTGATTTAAGTTTTTCCAGCTGATTTCTATTAATGACTCCATCATACAGGATTTAGTCCCTGAATAATGGCTGTAATAAATGTAAGAAAAAGAAGCTCTCTTTTTACAGAAAATTTTGTTCTCAAGGGCCTATTGCAAAAGCTAGAATTGTGATATGGAAGTTATGGAGAGAGAATTTTAGGAAGTAATTAAAAATAAACCGGGAGTTGGACACTACAAGCAAAAACTGAGAAATTAAACCAATTAAATGAAAAATGTCCTTCTGCCAGAACAGAGGTCACAAACAACTGATTTAAGTGTTCCTAATGACATTTTCAGTTTGCCCATCTAGCTAATAAAGTGAAAGGAGAAAAAAAGAAAGATGTCCACAGGGGAGCTAACCCTTTTCCTGTTCAAGAGAAATGAAAATGTGAATTTGTTCATAGTAAACTATCTCCCTTAGAAGAGAGTGTTAAGAATACATACTCCAGCCTGATGGGAAAGACTTCAGTGGAAGATTTCTTGATTTAATTTTGCCAAGCATGAGTGCTGCAAGTTTAGTGGTACCACAGCAGGAAGCTCAAGCTCTGTGTTAGTGCTGGGTTTAGATGACAGCATGAAGGTTGGAATTGTGATTTCAGAGCAGGATGCAAGCAGAAGTTCAGGAATTGTTGCCCACAAATGGAGGTGGAGATTTAAGTAAGTGAGGAAGTGTAAGGCTCTTCCCTCTGGAATTTGGGTTACTGCTGCCTACTTGTGCTTGACTTTCTTGTGGCCCCTTCACCGCCGCTGCTATGAAAACCTTCATTCTCCAGCAGGTAAAGTGATGTCCCCAAAATTCACTGTGCTAGTGCCATGTTTTCATTCACAGGACCAAAGGCTGCAGGATGGTGCTTTGGTAATTTATTCCCTTCATCCACTTAGTTCAACAGCATCAGGAATAACTTTTCATGTTAGAAGAGGATTCTGCTAATCTCTTCATTTGAGGCCTGGGTCTTTTTGCCTTTTTTGCCTTCTGCAGCAGTAGTGCTTTGACTTCTCTGAGTGTAAATCCAAACCCCACTCTATTTCTCTTCCTGACTCAGTCCTTTCAGAAGAATTCTTCCCGTTGGAAGGACTGTGGAAGGGTACTTAAAGACAAGGCAATTCACTGACTGAGGTGGGGAGGCAGCATCTTGCCCAGGTGCTCTCCTGTTCCCACTCTTCCTATTCTCCATTATGATACAGGACTTGACAGTTGCCCTTCTCTCCTTCCCTTGTGGCACAAGGTCCTGACAGCTTTCCCTTCCTGCTTTTTGAAGAGTGTGTTGAACTTTGAAGGTTTTTTGTTTTTTGAAGAGTATGAACAGTTGTTATCCAGTGGGCAGTGAGACACAGCTCTAAAAGCCCTACCATATCTGGCTGTGCACCAGCCTCACTCCCACCTTTGTCCCTGGTGACATGGAGTTAATTTGGAACGTCTGGTGCCAACGGGTAAGGTAGCTTGGATGTGCACCTCCTTATCTCCCCAGCTCTAGTCACTGGTATCACTGGGGCAGTGCAGCCTGGGTGTGCACTTCCCCTCTTTCTCAGTCCTTAACATAACTACTAACTCCAAGAAAAGAACTGAAAAACTAAACTCAAATATTACATTATTACTTTTTGCAATCAGAATCTGTACTTTTCAATAGCTTTGGTTTTTTTTTTTTCCCCAAGAATGACCATACCATGACATATAAGAATTAGTAGGCACTGGCTGATATTTAGAGTACTTTCTCAAACCCAGTCTGCACTGCCTATTTTTGGCCACTTAGAGTGTGACCTGCCTCCCTCCAGTGTTTAGCCTTGTCATATCATAGTTGAAAAGATGACATCTGCATGGATAGGTTTTGTGGTGGACTTTTCCTAGTGACTCATACTGAACTCATCTGCCTCTGTTTCTTTTCTTGTTACTAGTACTCTGTGTAATAAAACATTTCCCCTTCCTCTATGGACCTGGTATGATTTGGTTTTGCATAATTTCTGTATTGCTGCTTCTGAATTTTTTTGTTGTGACACAGAAATTCCATGGCGAATTTCAGCTATTCTGGAAAGGGAAGTACTCAAAGTTGGTCTTGGTATTCCACTGATCTGAACATTTTAAACTTGCCATTTGTATGTTCTTAATGTGGTGGTTGTTCTCTCCTGGTGATTTCCTATGGTATCTGTTCACAACAACACTTGTAGACTTGAGTGTGGGTCAAAGGCACAGTTCAGATGCAAGACACACCAATGGTTTGGCTACAACTTGCTTTTTTATGCATTGCACAGTGAGAACTAAAGGCAAATTTTCTTAGCTATATTATGCCTGTTTCCTTCTGTTAGTTTAAGGCAGTGCAAGGGAACAAGATTAAATTTTCTGGATTTTTTATTTCATCAGTTCCCCAATCCTTTTCATATGTCAAGTCTTAGAAATCAGCAAGCCTGATATTTTAAGAATACGTGTAACTGAACTCATGTTTTATTTTAAGGCAAGTTGTTTAAAAGCAATGAATGTTTTCAGTGAGTATGTCAAGTAAATACCATCACACACATCCTAGACAGGAGAAAGAATCTCTTGAGAAACTTGAAACAGAGCTGGAAAACAGTCTTCCAGTTCAGCAGATTTTTCTCCCTCATCTGTTTTATTTTTCTGGATTTCACTAACTTCCTGCAGAGTGTCCAGCAGTTCTTTTGAGATCTGTTATTCAGCAGAGAAGGATTCAAACATCTAAAGAATAAAATCTTCAGGAATTGCATACTGACAGATTCCTATGGAATTCTTGGGTTATGTTTTATCGTAGTAGACACTAGGTAGATTTTGTCATTAAGCATATTTTGTCATGAATTTTTCTGTCTAGCAGCAATAAGTAGTATGAGAAAAGCCAGTCTCTAAGAACCATCAAGTATCTACTAGGATTTTCCAGATAGAGGCAGGGAAATATTTTTTCCCAACCTAATTAGGACATTACCAGTATCTTCAAGGTCATAACGTACGTGATGCTAATGAAGAGAATGAAGAGCATCTAGAATTGAGGGATAGGGAGGTGCCCTGTACCTGCACCTGCTGTCTGTGTACATCCTTTCCCTTTCCTTTGGGAACATTGTGCTATTTCTTTCCCCTTTTCCTCTCGTTTTTTGAACTTTTTGTTTTGTCTCTTGCCCGTCCGGTTTTAGTTCCTGAAACTAAAGAAGTGGTGAGCCACAAGTACAAGACGCCAATGGTGAGTCAACTGTGGTGCCTTCTGGTAGTTCTTTAGAGGGTATACCTTTAATTTTTCATGTGGCAAAAAAGAATTACATTGAGATGGCAGGATTTGCAACGATAATGCTGCAGGGAAACACCAGCTGCTCTTTTAGGATAGTTTCCCTTAAGGGATGACAGCAGAACTTGGTGATTGTTGTTTCTGTCAAACTAGAGGAGCTCACAGGTAGTGTAGAAAGCATGATCTGTTTTGTTTAGATAGATAAAAATGCAAGGTAGCTCGTTTGGCATGAACTTTAGCACAATAAGAGCTGGTGGAACTATTAAATTATATGACAGTGCAGAACACAATCCTTAATCCACAGAACAGATGGAAAGAGAGACTAGTTCCTGGGCATAAAATGATTGCTTAATTGAGTTGGTGAAAAATTCCCATTTCTTCATGAAAGTAAGCAGTGAGATGCAGGAGAACAGGGTAAATAATAATTTCTGCCATACTGCTGAGTTATTGTTGTGGCTTAGTGTTCAGTTTTTGTAGCATCTTTTGAATACCAGCACTTTTACACATAGTAGTTCAATGATCAGGCTTATTATGCCATTACAAGGAAGAAATGGAAGCCAATGATTTTCATCAGAACTGAAATCTCATTAGTTATCTGCTGTCTGAAGGGCAACGTGTGCATCTGGTCACTGCAGGGAGCCTTCCAGTCTTTCAACAGCCTGAGAAAAGCTACTTGAAGAAGCTATAAATGTTTTAGAAACAAAATGCTTAGAATAGATTGAATTGAAGAAGCAGATAGCTGTTTCTTTTAATAAGTTTAATGAAAATAACACACCTTTTAGCTTGCAGTATAATACAACAAGACCAATTGTTGTGCTTCTTACCTTTACAAAATTTATAAATGTCAATTTACAGGGTAAGAACTTCTAAGCAGAATAGCCAGAAGTAGAACTAGGATATAAACTAAATCTCACCTTCACTGAACTGTGTTGCCAGTCACGTGCTAACAGGGGATTTTCTGTTAAATAACAGCACAATCAGTTAAAAGCAATAATTGTAAATCTTGCTGACATTCTGTGAAACCCTGTGTTTTAAGATAGGGATAAAATTGCTTGGCATTCTTCATATGAAACATGCAGTGCTGGGCTGTGGGGTTTTTGTAATTAAAAAAGGCAAAAAGAAACCCTTGAATTATCCATGGGTTCACCAACAGTTAAAATTACAAGGATTACTACTCCTTGTACTTGTGAGCATAAAAAGATAGTTTTGAATAAGGAAGAATCTCACCATCTCATGACTCAAGGTACAGCACTGAATGCTGAATTTTAGTCTTTAGTTAGGTCATTCTAACCCTCCCAGGAAATTTAACTTCATACAACAGACCAAAAGCAAATATCTAGGATGATTTTTCTAAAGCCAGCTGACAGCTGTCTACCTTAGCATACTGTTCTTGAAAATTATTAGAATCATCCAAGCAGGCAATGAATATTTTTTTAACCCAAATGAGGCTTTTTTATTTGTTAGAAGCTTTTCTTCTCTGTCCATCTCAGCAGGTAGCATGGGACACTTTTTGTAGCCAGAGTCGTTGCCCCATGAAGGAAGACATGCAGCAAACTACAAAATGTGCAGTTAATTTTGTAAACCACTAAATCATCTGAGTTTCATGATCTCCTTTTCTGAACTCTTGTAGGCTCATGAGATCTGCTACTCCGTGCTGTGCCTCTTCTCTTACGTGGCTGCCATTCGTGGGAAAGAGGCAGAAAACAAAAGCAAACCTCCTCGACCAGTTTCCAGTTGATCACAAAATTGGGAGAGACCAACCAACCCTCTGGCACGTTGACATGCAGTACTCCCCATTTTTTACTGCAGTTACTGGAGCTCACTTCACTGTCTTCTTCCCTCTAAGACTTCACTGCTCAGTCTCCTTCTGAATTCATCCTTCGTGGAGTTTTTATATGACCTGTTAATGAGACAGTTTTGAGCATCCAGCTGTATGACTTTACTCTGGCCATTCCTCTTTTCTTCAGATGACCAACAGCTTGAATTCAGTTGGGTTTTTTTTTGTTTGTTTGTTTTCTAGTGGTAATTGTTACAGATTAATCCCTTCACAACTGCAGGCTTCTGTTTTCAGGTTCTCTGGTATGTGCACAGTAGAAGCAGTCTGGTCCTGCATGTTGTTTAAATGTAGTGAGTTTATTGTTTTCCTTCTGTGTTGTTCATTTTCACCCACCAACATGAGTTCTTGTCACATAATTCTTCAGACCCTTTTGGTAGAGTCAAACAATTTAGCTGCCATAGTCTTAAAAGATCATGTGACAATTGAAGTTTGGCTGTTAAATTGGTCCATCTGGGGAGATGACTGCTTCTCAAGTGGGGAAAAAAAGTGGAGAGAGAACCTTGGAAGGCAGTAATATCATGAAAAACCCCTGACACCTCATGGGTTGTGTGGATTTTCCAGTGGGAGTTTAGGGAGCAGTTGTAGACAGCCCAACAGTAGTTAACAGATGCATATAAGCACTTCTTAAAGCAGTTCATCACAGGGATTAGAAAATAACTAAGGAGATGTAAAACTTTGGAAACATTATTGGCAGAAGCACACTCCAGGCCCATGTTTTTTAACTCTACACAAGATATTTGTTGAGCAATCTGCAGAACGTGTTCAGAAGCCCATGATGTCTCCAAATTTTTTAAGGTATTGCTGTTTTTCAGTCTGTACCTGCATATCAAGCAATCTTACAAATCCTGTGCTAATGTATAATTAAACTCCCACAGTTAAAACTATCCATCACATTCCTTATTTTAAGTAAGCTGAATGTAAATGTTTTTTT